GCACGTTTTTTAGCGATCTTATGCCGCTGCCTGACTCAGCTGCCAGGGGTTAAGTTTGTCATTGGGTCCTCTATCGGTCCCTGTGTGTGTCCTCCTGTCTTGTTTAATGTCCGTGGAAATTAACTCGCGAACTTGGAGTAAATCCATCGGAACAGACCTTTGCAGACTGAGTTAGTACTTGTGCTGCACTAGCTGGACCTGAAAGTGTCTTTTACAAAGGATTTACTCCAAGTTTGCGCTTTAATCTCCTCATAAATCAAGCAGGACAGGACGAAAACTGGGATTCATCCAAATCAGTATGGTAGATAATACTTAAATAATTGCTGACTGCTTGTTGACGATTTGTGAACATCACGTGGTTACACCGAAGTAGTTGATAAATTTCAGTTCCGTTGTTCATATCAACTGTCGAAATGAGCCTGAAAAGGTCTGATTCGAAGGATTTACTCCAAGTTTGCATTTTAACGCTCTTGGAAATCAAACAAGACGCGTATGCACCTTGTGCTCTGTCGAGCCAATTGTCATTCCGTTTTAACCAGCACGTTTGACTCCATGGTGGAAATCGGGTCACAGCGCTTATGAGAGGTCCACTTTGCCGCTTTTTTTTGGTTTTCAGTCAAGACCAGCCTTTGTTCCTGCTACTGACAAGCCGGTCACTGTTTACCCCCGACATTGCTTGGTCGTCTCATATGTAGGTTTTCCAACTTTTTCACGACTCCCACGACCTCCCAATTCACTACTTTATGCAGTGGTTTGAGTGAAAACATAATATGGTGAATATCGCTGTGTCAGTGAGTGTTTTGTTGGTTCATAAAAGAGGAAGTCCTGAAACCAGTAAAAAATCTGCAGATGCGGAGAGTCCAACCGCGGGGTCAGTTCGGTGTGCTTTGCCCCCCAATCAGGTCGGCTCACTGACCTCCATCGTCTGTGTAAAATCCGCCAGTCACTGTGGACGCAGCACGCGTCTCTAAAAAGTGTGCAGTCGGTCCTAGGCACCGAAATTCTTCTACCCTTTTCGGATTAAAAAGCAGGATGGCGATGAACTTGGAACTTTATTTTTGAACCCAGGATAGATTAGCGTTTTTACGATCTGTATGCATAGACTGAAACTTTGGCCGAAGTCCATCAGCCACTGCGGGATAACTGCGCAATACACAAAAACTGCCATCAGGCAGACTTTTGCATAAATTTTTGTTGTTATTTACCATACTTGCAACGTGGATTCTAGTTAAAAGTGCAGACATGTGTTTCGCCGGTATTCTGTCGCGGCGGAAGAATACCAGTGAGACACGCGTCTGGGCTTTTAGCTAGTACCTCTGCTGCCATTAGGGTAAATAATAGCATTCCGTGGCCGACCCCGACGACAGATGGCGATCGCATTTCACCCCCACCCTCCAGTGACAGTCGCTCGCTCCGCACAAAGAGCAGAAGTTAAC